CACTAGACTCTCTTTAACTTGGCTTGTGCTTGCTTCTCGTCTTATTTAGTGTTCTTCACTAGCAGTTGCTGGATAGTCTTGCTTTATTTGGCTGTCTTATTGGATGTGCTGCACTGTTTGAGACAAATTATGAAGACTTATTCATAACCTTGACTTCACTAAAAGTAGCAATGTAAAAATACACCATTACAAGTAACAGTCCTGCATAAAAAAATCCTGATTACGTACAAGTATTGGCAGGAAAACGTTGTAAAAGGTATCAAAGTCTTGGTTTGATCCCTCTGACTGACATGTTATCATATATCTGTATATATTTCTATTTGGTGAAGGTTTTAACAACTCAGACTCCTAAATGTGACCAGGGCACACACTGCTTTTTGTAAAAAGCAAAAACAGGGTTTTTACGCTGTAGTGGACTAGAAAGGCTAATATTTCACTCAGAAATGTAGTAGAGCAGAAATATAAAGCATGCACGTAAAGTACAAGTACCTCCAAATTGTACTTCAGTACAGTATGTGATTAAATGGAGTTTTCACAACTGCAGCTTATTTTTCACTATAGCTGGATGTTTCCAGCACTTTGACACTTAACAGTCCCGAACACAAACTTATGTTATCTTGGGGGTCGTGGCTCAAAAAGTTGGGGAACCACTGCTGTAATAGAGTTGAAAGCATGACCAAAGAGTTTAGGTAATAGAGTGAATTAGTTGTTTAAAAAAGTCAATTTGCTGTAAATTCACCAAATTACAGCTTTAGTTTGGCTTTAGGACCTGTGTGTAAAAGAAAGCCAACATGCCAGAACCTTGAAAATGATCCTTTCAAACCACATTTCTATACAAACCAGATTTATTGCTTTTCTGTTCAGTACAAATGCAGATATTTCAGACAGTAAGTGTATAAAAGTGTTACATGTCATTGACCTAGGATTCACTGTACTACGAGTTAAGGCACATGTTTTCTTAATGCAGCCTTTTAGTGTTTGTGGTATCCTTTTATTGATTCTGTTCAATCAGAATGGATGCTAATAATTAAGATCATACGAGTCTTCAATCATACCCTTCATAGCCCATCGCTAAGATTCTCATTATATGCCTCATCACATAATCACACAGCAATCAGAGGAGCTCGTCTCTGCTGGAAGCTCATGTATCCAGAGAGACGGACAGTATTTGTCTAAAATAACATTATGTATCTGTTGGCTTCATGTACACTCAAAGATGAAACTGATTACAAGGATTTCCCTTAAGATTTCACCAACAGTGAAAAGAAGAAGTGCTGAGCTGCTCGTACGCAACATTCAGGCCTCATGAAACAAACACCACTACACCGAGTGCTTCGTCTGTCAGGAAAAAAAAACAAATCTTTCCTGCTCATGAGGTAGAGATTAGCTTTCCTGCCTGTTACTGCTCCAAAACGTTGTCCTCGGTCCATTTGGAAATGAAATGCCAAGTAGGCCTGGACTTGACACTTTGGTACCGTTGCGCTGAGTCCTGTGCACGAGGTAAGTTTGTTCAGCCGACAGCCTTCACGCAGGTTTTTCTGCGACGTACCGTGGCAGGTCAGATGGCGGACTGAAGCACCGTCACGTTAGTTCCCTGAATGAGGTTTTCATCTTGGCCGTCAATCAGAGGGTCCCACTGATTAAAGTCCTTCTCCAGACCTGCAAGATCCAACATGATGTTTGGCATAATTAAAAACTAAAAAATTAAAGCAATGTGTTTGTACCTTACAAGTCCCATGTTTGATAAACTCACTAATCTGAAGATGTTTAATAATATCATTCCTCTATCTCCTCCTCAGCTAGATTGCCTGCTAGCTTCATAAGCCAATAAGAATTTTAAGTCTTTATACAGAAACTGAGAAACCAACAGCCACAGAGATGAAACATCTGCTACCTCACAGTCTGGCAGGTTTTTTAAATATTTTCTCCTGTCTTTACTCCAAACTACTGCATTTTAATACAGCCAGATTGACATATTTTTCTGTTTCCGTTGTCAGACAACATTACCACGATGACTAAAAGGCAGCAGTCACTACAGACTCGTTTCCAAGCTGCTGTTCTGGACCACTAAAATACACATTTTTATCTCCGACAAACTCATCAAACACACGACTTTAAAGCAACTGCTGTGCTGTGAGTTTTCTGATATTTCTATGGAAAATGATCACTTAGAGTTAGAAGCAGCAGAATATCTCAGTCACTCATTCACGTCTGTGTCAGCTGTCAGTCCTCGACAGAGTTTTTATTCCTGAAGCAACTCTACTGAAGCCATGGCTTATTCGATCATGGTTACAATCTACCATCTTTGCATTATTTTGAGCTGAAAATTAAAAGACACATTCTGCTAACACATGAGACTTTCATTGTTTGGCTAAAAAGAAGCACAATCTAACAAATGACTAAGACGTAAACGGATGCCAGGAACAGGTGGCATCTGGTTTCTCTTACCTAGATGGCGTTGCAGAAAGGCTAGTGTTGCTTTGTTGGAGAGGTCTATGGCAATCTCTGGGTCGATCTCTCCCTTCAGCTTCATCAGCTTTCCGATCCAGTTGCCCGTCAGGAAGGTGAAGTCTGGGAAGCTCTGGTGGACTGTACCTCTGCAGGGAAAAGGACACAAAGGCAGAAGATGAAACAACACATTTCTACTGCATCAGACCTCCTGAGCAAAGCTTTCAACGGTTGTCTTTTATCGCCTCTTGAGTTGGGAGCTGAATGTGACTGTTCTGTCCGTTGTACCTGATGGTGATCATTTTTCGCTGTATGACGGCCGAGTCCAGCTTCTTCATGCGACTGATGTTCCCCGCCCACTGGAACTTCTCTGAGTTGATGAAGAAAATTGGCTGCTTCACCCGAGGAAAGATCTCGTCATCTAGAGGAAACATCCAGGCGTCCAGCGCTATTCCACACCTGTGAGGCAGATTGTTACTCCACATTAGTTTGAACTTGTTAGTAATGTAGAGCTAGGTATTGTTGGTGCACTGTTTAGATTTGAAATGAGCAAAAACATGTACAGAGTGTGGGATCTAGCTTGATGTTAATACACCGATCAGCCACAACAGCTTTCTTTCCCACTACATTTCTAATTGTGACAAAGAACCATAATAATGGAAGAGACTACAGTTACTTGAATGTGTGTATTATTCCAAAACATACTTGAATTTAACCTCTTTGCACAGAGCTTCGATCACCGTGGCCCCGCCGAAGGAATGCCCCATCGCTGCTATCCTGCACAGATCCATGGAGTTCTGTCAGTCAGAGAGGAAGTGGAAAATGAGCGACATGCACGATCAAGGTTCTACTGTGATCCAGTCGTCTCCAGGTTTTAGTATCAGATCACAGGTGAAAGAGCAAGTCTGTTGGTGTTCTTTATTCTCGATTAAAAAAAAAAAAAAGCAACTGACATTCTTCTACCAAGTGTCCTTCTGTGTCTTAGAGCCCTACTGTTAAAAAACAAAACACAGGTGAGCTACACTGTCAACACATAAACTGTGGTTTAGTTTCAGTCACTTTCCAACTAGGCTCTGTCCTGCAACTGTAAACAGCTCATTGAATCTGTGGCTAGAGATTTAAAGATTTAATAGAGACAACTCGATTTGTGCTGAAAGCCAGAGACTCTTGGCAAAGTCACAAGTACTGAGAGTCACGCTCATGCACTGTTGGAATTTCTCAACAATAACAAATACAGAACCCTGCCAAACTTTAGGGTTTAGCAAGAAACCTTCCTCTTCTCACCAGAGACAGAAAAAGCTTTGCAGAACTTTGAGACGTTGTCCTGTGCGACCATCACATCTTGCTGTGAGATGCAACAAAGGTTCCTGAACCAGTGATGTGACAACTCATGGTCCGTGGCAAGTTACAGGCTGCCTCAACAACGCTCCTTAAATCTACAAACTAAACACAGATCTTGGCGCGTACTCAAAGTAGCTAAAAGAAGGTTAAAGTTTGCTTTTTAAGCTGTGCAACCGAATTCCTGAGCAGCTGCAGGCTTGTACATGAACGAATGTGGAGACTTCCACACTGTAGAAAACAGGATGGCGGCCTGCTGACTGCAGGAAGAGCTGCTTTGTTTGGTGCATTTGGCTCAACAACACACACAAATACAAAAGAAAACAGTGTACGTCCACTTGGCAAGAAGAGTGAAGTAAACAGCTTCCAGTTTACCTTCAGGTGTACACACTGTTACACATGTTTTAATGACAATATATAAGTATGAATGAATTATTTAAATGGTCTAGATTCGGTCTATGCGAGCTCTTATCTGGCCCAGAAGCTCTCAAGCTAACTGCAGCTGCTTTGTTGATACGAATATGTATTAATGTTTAGGATAAAACTGCACTATAGCTGGCCTTGACATGGCTGAACCTTAAAGTAATGGCAATTCTAATTATTGTGACATAATATATAGATTTCAGTTGTTTGTGTGATATATAAATTATGTAATTAAAGAGGTGACTGCTTGGGTTAAAAGCGGCCTATATTTAAGCAGAGATCTTCAGGGCAAATGAGATCGATATCAGGTCTAATGCTCAGCGGGTGCAAACGAGCCTTGATGATATTTAGTAACTACACTGGAAGCTGATAATCGGACCATTTTTTCACTCAAATATCTAACGAGTGGCCAGTTTTCTTGAATAAACACAAGAGTAGAATGTGCTGTAATGGAGAGCATAATCCTGAATGCTTCTGGTGACTACTCCTCTCCAAATGTTAAACCAAAGCCAGCGAATGTTACCTCCAGCGTCGTCCAGTCAAACTTTGTCTGCAGAACGTTTTGCACTGGTCTTCCTGAGTTGATTTCAGTGAGTTTATCCAGAGCCAGAATACATTCATCTGCTCTTTGTTTCACCTGACAAAGAGAGAAAAAACAAGGTTCACACAAAGTAGAAAGATCAAATGAAGGGCACGCCGAATACTGTTTCAATTTCATCTCGTTTCCAGTGTTTGAAATTCAAACTCAACAACTATGTTGAGAAAGAGCGAAAGATTAGACTGAACAAGCAAGGATGTGGTTTGAGCTGAACACTCATCACTGTCTTGCTTCCCATCAGTTACTGGGCGTGAAGTTCAGATGTTGTGCAATCCAGCTGCAGTTCATTCCAAACCCACTTTTTTTAAAAAACCACTGTTCACCTGTTTGTTTCTCAGAGGGAATTCGCTCTCTCCGTGCCGCAGAGCTCTGTAGTACATCCATTCCTTTACCAGGTTGTCTTGGGCTGAAGCTGATGTTTTTGGCAAATTCTCATTTGCTCTTTCTGACTCGGACTTCTCACGGAAATAATATGTAGCCGAGGCTGACTGGTCTCTGTGGACAGAAAAAGAAACATTATCACTGTAAAGTCAGAGTAATTCAAAGGCTGAGAAATGTAAAAAAGGTTACTGGTTTTTGTTGTTGTTGTTTTTCTTAAAAAAAAAAGCAGTACAAAGTGAAAAAAAGGAGATGTGAGATAAACACAGCTGCAATGATTCGTCAGTGGGAACAAAATGACTCTGCAGCTATTACTCAGTTCACCCTCTCACCCATTTCCCTTATCATATGTGACAGTGAGCTGATATTATTTAGATCTGTTACGTTCCTTTCAGATATGCATTCTTTTTCTGTTAACCTTAACGTGTCTGCTTCCTGTCTGAACGAACAGCTCGGTTACTTTTCAGAAGTAGGACCGACTAATACTCCAGTATTACTTTAAACACAACAGAAGTCTGAACTGCACTGTCATATGTACAGACAGATCAAAGCGGCAGTACTTCCAGTTGTGTGAAGTGATTTAGGGAAACATTCTTTTTGTTACACATTTCAGCACCAAAACAGCTCCTAAAAAACATCCCAGAGCTTAAGACACAGTTTGTGGCCATCTTCGTCTACTTTGCTCTACAATTTCACATCTATTACAAACTGAAACATCCATAAAAAATGAAACTTTACAGTGATGACGTCTTTTACAAGTCAGATTAATGAGACTCAGCGATGATACATTTAATTTAGGTTTTGACAAAAATGCAAACAGGAGCTGAAGTTGAGTTTGTAGGAGTCTTTCCTCTGAGTTGATTAAATACCTGCAGCAGGATCCATATGAGAGTCTGAGCTGCACACAATCACACAGGTGACACATCAGCAGTCACTTCATTCATGACTTATTATGATAAATGATTCCCAACATGGACACAAAATCAAAAACAGCAAATCCCACTGTGTGCGTTTCTTCATCTCAGGCAGAATGCTGCCTCATACAGTCACTGTTTATCAGCGACAGTTAATTAATTACTTAAATGGCAGCTTTAGATTTAGTCTGTTGTTTATTAGTGTATTATTATTCATCTTATCACTTGATACAGTGTTCAATCTCGCTTCTATGACAAACATCGTCTCTCTGTCACGGTCACGGGTTTGTCTGAATGAAGCCGTGAAGAACATAAATGTAAAAACAACTTTTGCCTGACTGACAGAATGGCATCATTTTATCAGATTGATTAACCCGACAATGTCTGTTATGTCTGAAAAAGAACTTTAGTCGAACAAACGTCACACTGCAGCTCTGACAAACTGTACACTCGTCTTAGAACACGTCACACTGTAAAGTCAGCTGCAGCCCTACTGATTAACCTCACTTCCTTGAAGATACCAAGAAATATTGTTTGTTTAGCTTATAAAACTTCCTGTTTCAAGGGAATTAAAAAAAAAAAGAAAAGAAGATTGCACAATATAAATCAGACACATCTGGTCTGTGCATTGCTCATCATTGTCGCTGGTTTTCCATCTCAAGTTTGAAGTCATTTATACTCAGGCATTTGTTTTTCTGGAGCTGATTAACAACAATAAAGATATGGCGTCCACAAGGGAACTCTCTGTGCCCGCTTTTGGTCAGAGACAATACAAACTAATTTGTGAGTGTGACAAAAGCACCGCTGGCTGGGCAGCTGGATTAACCTCTGACCGTCATCGCAGTGAAGTGAAACAAACTCTGTCTCGTGTCGCAGCTCTAACATGACTGGCACATGCTCTTTCTGTGGATTTAGCCTTTAACCAGCAGCTAAAACTCAGTGAAATACCACTTCAGTCGACGCGGGCTGACAGACCAACTGTGGCCATTATGTTCATCTCCATATGGTCCCCTTGTCTCTATACTGAAAAGAAATGTGATGACCTGGTTCGTACCATTGTCTGCACACCCTTTCCACTCCTACTCCAATGATAAACAGACAGCCGCTTGCAGAAGTGACTGCCCTCTGTTATTGTTTGCTTGGCAAACGTTCAACTAGAATTTCCTCCAAATGACACGTGGGCTTAGTGTCAAATTTTTCACTGTCCATATTGTCAGCGCACAGTTTGAATACAGTTCAAGTATGTTTGAATCACTGCTGCACGTCTGACCTCTGATCCAGATTTGTAAACGATACAGCGCTTCCTTTCTTTTTTTAAAGAAATAAACATGAACATTATCTATCAGGTAAAACTGTAGTTCATAAAAAAAAAAGAATAAAATAAATGTAAAAGTGTATTTTAAAACCTTACCTGTGTTCCACGGACGCCACAATGAAGCCCCGAGAGGCCATTTCTGCACAAATAGCTGAATACAAAGTCCTAGGAAACACCGATGACAGTAGTTGTAAGTGAGCAGCTCGTTCATAATGAGTGGATACTGTAACAGTGAAAAACAAAGTACTGTACATACCTAAAGGCTCCCAGGCCATGAGAGAAAATAACTACAGGACATTTTCCGTTTGATTTAAATGGAGCATCCAGTTGGGCTGGGATCTTAAAGGAACCTGAAAGGCACAAGCAACACACACATTCACTTTTTAACGAACTACACCAGTGTTTTAGTCCATTTTTTTTTTTACCAGTTTAATAGAAGCTATGTGCTTCATTGTTCAGATGAACATTTCCCAAAAGCAGTGCTGTGGTTTTTTTTCCCACTAATTTCTATGCTGTGACCATTAAGTTGTAAAAAATTCAAACAAATTTCCTTATTTGTGCTTTTATTTACATCACGGTTATTATAATGTTATTTGCCGCAACAGGTGAAAGAGTCAAACATTTTACAACTCTGTGCTGATTTGATGCAACAAAAACACAATTCTGACAAAAACAAAAACCGATTTAAGCAACTCTTTGATTAGATTTTCACACTATGCGGAAACAAAGTTCGGCTCTTAATATCTTCTTCCAGCAGAGAGCCCATCTTGATTTCATTTCCATTTTATTTGAATTTTAACTGTCTTTTATTTCTATCAATTATATTTGTACCTTTTTAAAACTGTGTTGTTTTTATACACCATGTTATATTTTTGTGTTCCTTTTCAATCCTGGTGATTTTATGACTTGTCTATTACATTTTTCTGCCTTGTGAAGCCCTTTAGGTTTGGAAAAGTGCTCTATAAATAAGGATTATTAGTATCTATAGTACTAGTGAACCGACTGGCTGCTGAAAAGGATGGAAAAGCACATTAAAGAAACAAGAAAAGCATGCAGGATTTTACTTTAAAAGGTAAAATGGTCTGCACCTACATAGCACTTTTATCCAAAGCACTTTACAATGTTTTCTCATTCACCCATTCACACACACATTCATACACCAAATGGTGACAGAACTGCCATACATGGTGCTGCCTGCCATTGGGAGCAACTTGGGGTTCAGTGTCTTGCCCAAGGACACTTTGCCTGTGGAGGGGGGGGGGATCGAACCTTGCGATTGGAGAACAACCTGCTCTACCACCTGAGCCACAGCTGCACAGAATTTAATGCTGCTCTGTATTAAAAAATAGGTTCCTTTCTGCTAAATGTTTTATGTTATATGTATATTACTAATAAAAGTTATTCACCAAAGAGGTGGTTGAAAATCCTCTCGCTGAGGGTCCGGTTGATTTTCATGAAGTCTGCCAGGCCGTTGAAATACTCCCTGCATGGGACCCAGTCGGGCTTCTCTGCTTTTTCAGTCTCCTGACAGGGATAGTACAGCCGGAAGAAGGTGCCCTGTTGGCGACACAAACAAAAGTTCACTACAAACAAATATGCTTTCGTCTCTCGTGATGCAGGCAGGAGGACGTCCCAAATCTTTTGTTAACACAACGCGTGTTTTGTGTACAGATGCTGCTGCTGCTTGAGCTGAATGTGAAACACTTCTTACTAATGAAACACAGGACGAACAGCTTTATATCAGCTGTAACTAACAGGATACATAATTACTGTAATCAGTCTGTACAGGAGATACTCAGACGCACCGTCTTTGTCCATTGTTATTCCTTGTAGATTTCTGCTGCTGGTTTTCACATGACTGGAGAAAGACTTAGGTATCACATGACATGACAGTGCTCAGTCCATCACGTGGATTTCGTCATGTTCTCAGAGTGATCTCATTTCATTTGTTATATCTAAAGCAGAATATGTTTAGTTCCCACTGACATGTGAGGTATACAGCAAGTACTTTTTTTCCTTTTTAAAACAAACATGGAGCTACAAACATTAGCAATGATTTTGATAGTTCATTTATTAGTTTGTTTCTAAGGACAAATTCCAGCTTAAATGTGAATATTTTCTGGTTTATTTACTGCTCTGTGACAGTAAACTGAATACCTTTGGTTGTGGACAAAACAAGACATTGGTCAACTTGGGCTTTGAAATGAGCCGTTTCACCTTTCTTGATACTATATAAACCAAACCACTAATTGATGAATTGAGAAAATAATCTACGGGTTAGTAGACAATAAAAACAATATTTAGTTGCACTCCTACAATAAAAAAAAAAACCAGCTCATGTATGGTGACTCGTCCTCTGAGAATATACAGCATGTCTGTTTTTCTTTTACCTGAGTCGTGTGGTCCATCATGAAGTCAGTGCAGCCCACAGCGTTGGGCCCCTTCGCTGGAGGGATCCCAAGATGACTGCAGGAGTTCCCCATGGTGAAGAAACCGAGCGTGTACCTCCTCTGGTCTGTCAAATAAAGATACGGGTTTGAAAAAAAAATACTCATTCAACCAGGCAAACAAGCAGCAACAACGCCTAGTGGGGCTGCACAATATATTGTTTCAGTTGTGTCACTGCGGAGTGAGCAACAGTCACACTGCATGAAAGGAAGTAAGGCAAACTATCTCCAACACATCATGCTACAGCTGCTTGACAAAAAGAAAACTTGCATGGTCCTCATTTTCTATGACTACAAGAGAAGTCTGATTTAAGTTGATTTTTTTTTGTTTGTTTTTAACAATACTTAGATAAACTTTATTGATTCACAAGGGAAATTGTTTGATCACAGTTGCAACACAAATTTTAAAAAAAAATCTATATTAATATACAAAAAATAAAAAAGTAAATAAAGCAAGCAGGAATAAAAGGAATACAATACAAAGATTTCCATATGTACAATTTACAACTTTACTTTTTTTTTTTCTTTCTTCTCTCTTTGCCAAGTAAAGAAATACAAACATACAATACACTGAGTCTGTTGACATGCAGACAGACCATGTAAATCTGGACGACAAAGCTCTGTGTGACAAATGCAAATCTAGATCTGATTACCATCCAAAGCCAAAAACTACTTTAGATATTTTGTCTGGTGTTGAAACATAAGAAACTGCTTTTTTGTCCACTTTAAAAAAATAAAGAAATTATTGACTTTGATTTGATTTTGTTAGTGATTTTGCACAAACAACTTCAACTTTAATTTACATACACCTGAGCATATATATATTTAAAAACATATATGCAACTCTCTCAGGTGTCCTCCCACACAGTCCAAAAACATGTTGAGGTTAATTGGTGATTCTAAATTGTCCGTAGGTGTGAATGTGAGTGTGCTTGGTTGTCTGTCTCTAAGTGTAGCCCTGTGATAGACTGGTGACCTGTCCAGGGTGTCCCCTGCCTTCACCCTGAGTCAGCTGGGCCTACGACCCTAGTGAGGATTAAGTGGTGTCTAGATAATGGATGGATGGAATATATATGCAGCTCAATCTAAGCTATGTATGTTTTATGAAATGTTAATTACTGCTGCAACATTGCAATTTCCCTTTGGCGATCAATAAAATACTATCCATCTATCCATCTATCTATCTATCAAATACCAGTCATGACAGAGAAACCATGTCTTGACAGAAAGCAGACTGTTTCTACACTGTGAAACTGCTGATACTGATTAAAAACAGTTAAATGTCAGCAGATTGTGACCACAGCTTCAATTTAAACACAGTAAAAACACTCAATGCTCTCTGTTCCTTTATTTGTGATATTGTACCTCTCTTAAAGTACTTGTTTTTTTTGTGACAAGCTGGACTTCTTGTCAAAAATGACCCAGCTGTCAGTCAGCAACTCTTATCATCTGAAACTTCTTATCTACCAGCTACAGTTGAAGTTGTTTCATACAGACAGTTAGACTGGTCGAGGGAATTAGAGTGTTTTAGTCAACAAAGGTATAGTTTCAAGCCCTACCTGTCCTTGCCCACTCGTAAGTTCTCTTGACCACTAACTGTACAAATCCCCCATGAGAAAACATCGACCCCAGTCGCTTCGAAAGCGAGCTAACCGAACCTAACACCGGGTATCTTCTGTTTAGCTGCTAACCACACACAAAAAACACCGAAATAAACGACTTAAAAACATACAAGGCCTACCGGAGATACAGAAGTACGTCGGCTGCCAATGTTACTACATCAGTTTCGCAACATTACAACGTCCTAATCTGCCTTTCTCTGGATAAATAGCACCGGTGTGAGTCACTCGGTGGGCGGTTTAAAGGTCGGACCGATCGCCGGTGGTAGTACTGTAAGTTAGCCGCTGCTTAGCATAAGAGTGGGCTAAACCAGAGTGGTGGACGAACAGGGTTCAGCTAACGCCGCATCCGGAAGCAGTTATCACACAAACTTCAGCGTAACACAGCACTACATGATCTACGTATCATATAAACTAATGAAAATTCATTTAGCTGCTATTGATGCCACAGCTACAGAAGAGGCAGCACTGTACGCCTGTCCTCTAAGTCTGTTGTTAAATGGGGTGAACCGGTCTATCTACGGCTCTGGTTTGATTCAGCGTATCCGATTGACAGCGCTGCACTGTATAGGCACGTGCGTTTGTTGACAAAAATGTTCAACACGTTAATTGATATTTTAATTATTATTTAGTAAAATACGAGGCTACTATCATGAAAGTTCAATATACGTGTGCATTTGTTAATTATTTAGATATTTTTGATTTGGGTGCAGTTCCACTCCTCCTCTGTGGGGGCGGTAGAGGGCAGACGTTCGAGAAACACAACAGTGAGCACAGTGTGCAACGATGCTGTGTTAGCAAAATCGACTACTCTAAACAAATTTATCGGTCGTTTCTTGTGGAAAAATGAAATTGGTGAGTAAAGAACGCAGCAGTAAGGACTAGGATAAGTTGCCGACTACAATGGCGGGTTAGAAAAAATCATTTAAAGTGGCTAACTAGCGTTGCAGCTAACAGCAGCGTTTGCTAGCTACTGTCTCATTTACTGGGTTAGCAGGGCAGCTAACAACAAGGCTAGAGTATGTAAACTATTTAAGCCATTCCATATAGTGGAAGAAAAAGCTCCAAGTCAACTAATTCATGTCACGTTGAGCATTTGCCTCTCTCAATCACAGCTTATTCTGTTTTGCAACTTTGCACAGACTGCTTCACCTGCTTCTGTATTGTTTTGTTTTTTTTTCTTCCCCTACACCTGTGATGTCCTTCTTGCAGTACTGTTTGTCAGGTCATCCCACATTGCCTTGCAATGTCCTCAAGTTCAAATCAACCACCATCATGTTGGACTGTGGACTGGACACCACCTCAGTCCTCAATTTCCTGCCTCTTCCTCTTGTGCACAGGTGAGTCACTGGCATCTACATTGATGCATTCATTAATTTCTGAAAGTGTCTCTCCTCTGAATCATAATTCAAACTTTTTTTTTTCCTGTTTTGTATTTTTAGCCCAAGACTCTCCAAGTTACCTGGATGGGTCTCTAAGGATGGGACAATAAACTTGGAAAAGGTATTTGATTCAGTTTGTGGTGTATTTGACTGACTGATCATGTAACCTGTATTGAAACATCACCTTATCAGACCACCTATAGCGGTCTCATTTTGTTTTCTGTATCTGTAGTGTGTCAGTATAAAACTATTTATATGAGACATACACCTGCATGTGTCGATGAAACTTTTTTATGTCAATATTTTCCTACTACTTCTGTGTCATTGCAGACAGCAGTATAATAATTGCAGAGAACATGAGGTCTCTTCTTTCGTGGATTTTACACATTATTTTGCCTTTTGTTATTGTGATGCCTCACTGACAGGCACCTACATATAATGCCATGCTCTTCAAATGTGCACGTCTTATTGATTTCTATGTGACAGAATGCAAACTTTCAGCCTGACAGGCATTATCTGCCTGTCAGCATTCAGTGTTGGTATTTCAATGTAAAGCAGTCAGTTGATGATATGGATGATTTCTTTCCGTCTTTCCAGGAGCTAAAGGAGTGTGCAGGAAGGGTGTTTGTGGATTCACAGCCAGAGTTCTGTCTCCCTGAGGTAGTAAACTTAGCCACCACACTTAATGCATATTTGGCCAGTGAGCATTTCTTTTTATTAACCCAAAGCTGTCACTCGAAAGCCACAAATGTATGATTTTACTGCAGGGAATTATAGAGTATGTTGTGCTGACATGATGTGGGAAGGGCATCAGGGCAGTGTCTCTCTGATAATTTGATTTAAATTGCAAATAATTTTGTTTTTGGCTCGTTAGCAGCTTCAGTGCGATGATCTTTATTATTGTGGTCAACAAAGTGTGGTTGCGTTATATTTCTCTTCCACAGTTGGCACTTCACATATAAATCTCACCATAATTAATATTTTGTTTTAATGACCTTTTTAATAAACCACAGAGAGAACTGCTGGACCTGTCTAACATTGATGTCATCCTCATCTCCAACTACCACTGTATGATGGCCCTGCCCTACATCACTGAGCACACAGGCTTCACTGGGACCGTGTACGCCACAGAGCCCACCCTGCAGATCGGGAGGTAAGAAGACTCAGGAGATGAAAACTGTGTCCTATTGTTTAAAGAAAAATACGCATGCTATAGTTTTGTTTTTGGTGAAAGAGATAGAGGTCTAAATCGGCCACATCTTTGGTGAAACTTTGTGTTTAGAGAATATGATATATAGGAAAATACATTACCTGTGGCTGATACTGTATTTAAGAAATGTTGCTTTTTGCTCCTCCTTTCTCAGACTGCTGATGGAGGAGGTGGTGAATTTCATGGAGAGAGTTCCCAAGGCTCAGTCTGCCACCTGCTGGAAGAATAAGGAAATACAAAGGTAAATAAACTTAAACAGCCCATTTTATACTTTCAAGATTTTTTCCTTTCCTTTTGTGTGTTCTAGCTTTTACATGCATGCAAAAGATCTACACACACACACACACACACACACACACACACACACACACAAAAAGCATTCCAAAACAAGCTTTTCTCTCCCACACAAAACTCTACACCTTACCTGCCTGACACACCTCATTCGAAGTCCAGGCTTTATCAAGGACTTGTCTATATGACCATGTCAAACATTTGCATAACAGCTGCCTAGTGGCTGGCTTGGCCCTCAAACAAAGAACAAACACCTGCCTCACAGTTATCATTAACTGCAGCAAGGTACACTATGAGAAAAATGGTGTGTTTTTGAACATTAAAGCATGTAAACATAATGCAGTAGACACCAAAAATAAAATTGCAAACCCCTAAAAACTGAGTATCCACAGGCGCCCCTACAGCTCACCTGGTTGAGCGGGCGACCCATGAACAGGGGCTGTAGTTCCCCGACGCAGCGGTTGTGAGTTCAACTCCTGCTCATGACAGTTTGCTGCAGGTCTCTCCCCATTCTTCTCCCCCCTTTCCTGTCTCACTCACTCACTGCAATAACTAATAAAGGCAAAAAAAAATAAAAATCTTTAAAACAAACAAACAAAAAACTGAGTATGCACAAAAGAAAACTGACTACTTTTGGTAAACATTTATTTTAAAGAACCTAATACTGGATTTTTGATAACTTTAATATATGAAATTTGTCATATGACTTTCCATCAGTACATTATCTCAGTTTTTTCCTCTTTTAATCTTGTCCCTGTCTTGCAATGCACAGCAAATAAACTACTTTTGTTATTACATTAGGATGCTTCCTGGGCCACTGAAGGATGCAGTGGATGTGTGGACGTGGAAGCGATGCTACAGTATGCAGGAGGTCAACTCTGCCCTCAGCAAAGTGCAGCTTGTGGGTTATTCACAGAAAGTGGTGAGTTTCTTTTGTCCTGTGTCCTCCACACCGACTAATGGACTAATACAGTCTGTCCTACCGACACCTTCCTCTTCACTGAAATCTAACCAAGCTGTTTTCCACATTGTGCGGTAAATAGCTTTTGGTACATAATGGATTAGAAAACTTTATTTACAGCAAACAAACTGTCCATCTGTGTGTTTGATCTTATTAGACTGTTCATGTTTTTCTTAGTCAGGATTTTCTTTGTGAGTGCTGGATTAAATACTATTCTAGTATAAACTGCAAAAACATCTTTTCTTTCTGTCTGTTTCTCCATGTTTTTAAATTCTCATTCTTCTTTTTTTCTCTAGGAGTTGTTTGGAGCTGTTCAGATCTCACCACTGAGCTCTGGCTACTCATTGGGCAGCTCCAACTGGATCATTCAGTCACATCACGAGAAAGTGTCCTACGTGTCGGGTTCGTCCCTCCTCACCACACATCCACAGGTAGGGCAGCAGACCTGGTGTTAGATGAAATTACATATTATAGGCCTGGGCAAGGCTTGCTCACATGCTTTTAGGTATAACTTAGTCGCATGGTTGCAAAATAACTGTGTGGGGAAAATGCATGTAAATGCTAGTTCTTTCAGTGACAACCAAACTCACAAGATTATCACACTCCCCTGAGTCACTGCAGTTATTAATCACACATTTGGTTGCTAATAATTTCCAATTTAGTTGAAGTTAAGTTCTTTAAAGGGCACTTTGGAAGGTGATCTTTGCGACTGTATTTGTCGGTGAAAGTTGGAAGGGAGTGATATTTGTTTTGTTTAATATGATTTCACTGGATTGTTTTGAGACTTGGAGGTGTCTTTTTTTTAAGTCTGAGGTCATGGCTCTCTCCTGGAAAATGAACGGTTGCTTTCTCTGGGTTGGGTGTGCCTCAAGCTCAAGATGACTCGACAAAATGGTGCAGTATCAGCATTAAAGGCATCATACCTGACAGTAGTTGTAAAGAGGAAGCACTGATTTACCGGTAGGCTCATGTGTCAACTCTCACCAGTGGTCATGAGCTCTGGTTTTGGGACCAAAAGAATGAGATTAAGCGGCCAAAATGAGTGTCCTTCATAGGGTGGTGAGGAACTAAAACATTTGGAGGGAGCTCGGATTAGAGTTGCTGCTCCTTCACGCCGAAGGAGCAGGTTGGGGCAGTCCAGGTATCTTTTTAGGACACGTCCAGGGTGCCTTCTTTTGGAGATGTTCTGGGAATGCCTGACTATGAAGAGACTCTGGGGTAGACTAAGAACTCACTAGAGGGATTATATATCTGGTCTGGCCTGAGAACACTTTGAAATCTCCCAGAATGAGCTGGAAAATGTTGCTGGTTAGAGCAACATCTGGAATATACTGCTTTGCCTGCTGCCATAAAAACCCGACTTTGGATAAGCAGAAGAAAATGGATGGATGTAGTGAAGAGTTCGGCTCACATTTTCACAGGTCTGATGATAATTTACAATATCTCTTCTTCTCCTTTTCCAGCCAATGGACCAGAGTTCCCTGAAGAACAGCGATGTTCTGATTCTGACGGGCCTCACGCAGATGCCCACCGCCAACCCAGACGGCATGCTGGGAGAATTCTGCAGTAACCTGGGTAAGCTGTGTTTCAACAGATTCATGCTGCATGAACAAAAAAATCTCAAGTATGAAAAGAGGACGAATACATTCAAATTACATCATTAATACACCCCTTAAATGTTGGTTAATTAACGACATCTATCTCGTCTGTAGCTATGACCATCCGGGCCGGAGGCAACGTGCTGGTGCCCTGCTACTCCTCAGGCGTGATCTACGACCTGCTGGAGTGTCTGTACCAGTTCATTGAGAGCGCCAACCTGGGGACCACGCCCTTCTACTTCATCTCACCTGTAGCCAACAGCTCCCTGGAGTTCTCTCAGATCTTTGCTGAGTGGTGAGCAGCTGCTTTTTTTATTATTCCAGGAATCTGTCATGGAGGGCTGGACGCAATAAAGGAAATGAAAAATCCAAATGTGATGATGGATCGAGACTAAATCCAGCATCAGATGCAGATGAACAGTGTGTCTGTGTTGGTATTTTGTCCTTGAGCAAAATGTGGGTGAAGATGCTGATATTTTAGTACCTTTAATAGAACTTGTATGCCTCCAAGATTCATTGTTCAGTCAGAATGAAAGTAGTATTTCTTTCACAGCTTGACTATCTTCAGATTTCAACATCAAGGGAGGGTTTCTAAATACAGTGAAAAACTCAGCACCCTGTTTGTTGCTCTGCAGGATTATTCTGGGATATTTTGATTGGAGTTACAAGATTTTCTCTCTTTTCTTTATAATTTCAGGCTCTGTCATAACAAGCAGTCAAAGGTGTATCTTCCAGAGCCTCCGTTCCCACATGCAGAGGTAAGTCCTGCTGCTGATTGAAAAATAATGTTCCATTATCGAGGTAGAGGATGGTTGCAAATCATGAGTTTCTTTTGGCAAGTGACATAAACCTGCACGCCAAACTAAAAAGCTCGGAGATCATTTCTTAAATTATATAGTTAACTGACATGAGTATGTGTAATAACGTGTCCACACATGGAGGACAAAATGTTAGTTTTATTGTATAGCATTGCATCTCAAAGAGTTTTCTGATTAGGGATATTTAATCATGTTTTTCTTAATAATTAAGGAGATGAATGTCGAGCATTACATTTTCAAATCCCTTGCAACACCAGTGTGGTATCTAAAAAAAAGCATTTTCATCTTCGATTTCATTTTATGTTGAGCCACATTTGCTCAGATAGTAATATTTTACATTAGAAAGCCTCTTTGAATCAGTCAGATATGGTGTTGGAACAGGTCAGTAATATTGAAACAGTCATTTAATAAAGGAAAATGTCTGTTTCCAGGAGGCACTTCAAAAATTGTTGGTCAAACAACTTGGTTCTTATGGATCTGTCAACACTGTATGTTTATTATATCCCACAAAATCTTGAGCTTGTTGGTAACGACAGTTCTCCAAAAGCATCCGCTGCAGGGCAAACAGCAGACTACTCGTTTGAGTCCAGCGCGCTTTTTGATTCTAACATAGGTTTTAAATTACAAATTGTGAATCTCCATGCTTGTACATGTTGCTGCCACTAGTCTTTGCTTTCAAACAGTGTGAGCATGACAAAAGAGGAACACGTCCACCTTCACTTGCTCTGTATGAATGTGTGTCCTGCCGAATAGAGAGCTGAGTGTTGTCTTCAGAGTTTGACAAATATGAGGAAAATAACCGATCGAACAAATTAAGAATTGCCTTGATCACACAGATGATTTTTCTCCAAATAACGAAAACCACACAGATCTTTATGGGTTTAATGAATCAGCAAATTAACAAATTGCCTTAATTACATTGCTTTTAAAAAAAAAAACAACAACAACTTCATTTTCATGTTTCATTGATGTATTTTTGGCATAGGTTTATTTTACAAATAATTTAAACAGGCTAGATAAGACATATGATTAAAAAAATATGTTCCCCCATTAAAATAATCATGTTTATTTTCATTGATAAGAGTGCGTTTACACTCTTTTTTGTAAAATGATGCCCATCATTGTGGCAGATCTTGGTAAACCTCTCAGTGAAGGTGTCAATAAATCTAATAAATTAGGTCTAAAAATAGTTGATAATAGAAGTTTAGATCAGAGTTAGGTATTGTTTTAAATATTAACACTATTTACACACTCTGTTGCTAAAATGCACAAAATTCACCACACGTTTACAATGGCACACCCCGCATTCCTGTGGAAAACCCTGTGGCTGTAGAACAACAAATGTAATGCAGGCTGCTGTTTAATAGTTCCCGTGCTGTTGATGTTTCAGCTGATCCAGACCAACAAGCTGAAGCACTACCCCAGCATTCACGGAGACTTCAGCAGCGAGTTCCGTCAGCCCTGCGTGGTTTTCACCGGCCACCCTTCTCTGCGCTTTGGCGACGTGGTTCACTTCATGGAGCTGTGGGGCAAATCCGGCCTCAACACCATCATCTTTACCGGTAGCTGCAGCCAACTTTCTTTCAAGCACTGCGGTTCGATTAGTCAGATAAAAAAAGACGTAATGTGACTTTTTTTTCTTATGACCAGAGCCAGACTTCTCCTACCTGGATGCGCTGGCTCCCTACCAGCCGTTAGCCATGAAGTGTGTTTACTGTCCCATCGACACACGACTCAACTTCCATCAAGTGTCAAAACTGCTCAAAGAAGTCCAGGTAACACCAACACCTGATCATTATCCCAGGTCACTGATTCTGTAAATGTACTGCTGGAAGTTTTGCTCTACCAGTTACAGGATATTGCAAGAGAAATGCAAACAGGTAGTCAATAATGTTCTTTTTTAAGGTCAGTTTGAACATCGGCCAACAGAATAACCCAGTGACTGGAGAAAAAAATTTCCTGATTGTCTTGCCTGGTGGGTTTCTCTACACAATAATGGTGTAAGGAAAAAAGAGCAACAAGCAAATAATGACTGAGTCAGTAACAGTCCTGTGGGTGAAACAGGAGAGTGGAAGCAATTTTACAAGCTAACAGGCGAGTCACAAACAAAATAACCGAACAGTGTTAGATCAGCCTTCAGGGCCGAGCTGGAGGCAGAACAGAACAGCTCTGAACCACTGAAGAGGGAGGCTGAGGGTTTGACTGTATGTCTTGTTGTAGAATGTAATAATGTCCAAACTTCTCATTTAGCTCTTCTTGCATCTTAAGGGACTTGCAGGGATTTAGTTAATTGATGTTCGCTATGAATCGATCCCTTCAGTTTAGAAGATTATTAGTAATCCTCACTTCTAAATGTCCTGTATATTATTGACAGGAAAAGATATTGACCTTTAGTAATTTAATTTGCCTCAGTGACAGAAATCATCCTCTAAACACAGTTGAAATCAGCTTATTGACCAGCATTTGAGTTACCTTTTTGTTTATTTTTGTAATAAGTGTCAAATGAAGACTGTCGAGACTAAACACATTCAGCAAATAGCATCCTAACATAGCGCTGATGCTAAAAGATGCTATCCATGGTTGGCACTACTTTTAAAACATCAGCATGTTAAGATTAGCTTTCCAACACATACTTTATGCAAATTGTTTTATTGAATTAAGAAAAGTTAATGGAAATGGCAAAATTTGAAAAACAAAAACATCCTCAATTTCATAAGAAGAATGTTACATGCTCTCTTGAGGAGGTGTTTTTGAAAAAGACTTAATGCGCTTCAGGGGAGATGGAAACACAGGTTCTGAATAAGTTCTGATGTAGTGAACATTTAAAGTCACGTGACTAATTAGTTGTTTCTGCTTCATTTGTTGTTTGTTGCCTCCAAACATCATGAAACTTTGTGAATATTAGATGATATTGAAGAATAATAATAATAACTTTCCTGAAGACTTCTCACGGTTTTCTCGTGCAGATGGACAAAGTCTTGTTAGTTTCTTTCTCTTCAAGGTTTTTTTTTGTGTTTCTGGATTCTTTGACTAGATTACAGCCATGCATAATGCTGCTTGTAGCGCCACCTTCTGACTCCACAGCCTAGTTTGTCAAATTATTATTGGTATTGTTATATATATATTTTTTTTTATAATACTACTTTGGCTCTGATGCAGCCACCAGCAAAAAGCTTTCTCTTCCACTGCCAGCCTCCAGTGCAGCCTTGATTTTAGGGCTGCAGCTATTGATTATTTTAATGAGCGAGTATCCTATCCATTATTCTAGCGATTCATCGAGTAATCGGAGAAATATTATAATTTATTTTCATTAAATTACTTAAGCTTAATTTAATAGAAATAAATATTTTTTTCCGCAAGTTATTTTGCTTTCCCTGAAGCTCGCTGTTTTCGTCTCTCTCTGTCTCTATTTCCATTTTGCATTCCTCGTTTGGCATATGCGTTACAGCATTACAAGCAGAAGTGAACACGCTGTGCAACAGAAATAACGTCCAGGTGGAACATGGGCGGACATCTGCGCTGTATCATGCATATATAATATAGTGGATTAAACAAAGCTTCAAGGCAAAGAATTTTGCCTCAAAGCATTTTAGTAATCAAATTACCCGAGGAATTGTTTCAGCCCAACTTTATTTAAACCCTCCTTTCGTTCTTTAATAAAAGCAGCCTAAATCTACAATATTGTGTAAAAACCTACAGCTCCCCCATCTTTCTCTCCTGCAGCCCCTCCATGTGGTGTGTCCAGAGCAGTACACTCAGCCTCCTCTGACCCAGTCCCACCGCTCTGACCTGATGCTGGAGCTGCAGCCTCCTCCGATGCCCTACAGACGCTGCTCCGTGCTCAACCTGCCCTTCAGACGTCGCTACGAACGCGTCTACATTATGCCAGAGGTGAGGCGCTGTAGAGCGTACAGCTTCCTGTGGGTGTAAATACATTCTTCTGTAATGTGCCTTGGTAATAAGACTTAATGGTTGAGAGTGTTGAATAAAGTCTGAAGTCAGTATCTTTGGAAACAGATGGCGAGGGCATATTTTAAATTCTCCAAAGTGTTTGGCGGAAACAGCAACATGTGGAGCTTCAATTACTGTCAGAATTAAAGATTGAAATGTATTATGGAAATATTCAAACTGCTGTTAGCAAGCAGGTGGCCAATTTTCATTTCTGAGAGTCTGATTCTTCTGTTCCTAGCTGGCGAACTCCCTCGTGCCCTCCGAAATTAAGCCCGGCATCTCCGTGGCAACCGTGTCTGCAGTGGTGCACTCCAAGGACAACAAACACACTTTACAGGTGAGGCCACAAAATATGCATTAGAATGTTTCATGTTGGGTAACCGCTCCGCAGCCAGCTGACGTTTTTCTTTCATATGCTGCCTCCAGTCGGTGCCCAAACCTCCTCCTGTGGCCCCCAGCAAGAAGAGGAAGCGTGTGATGGATGAGCCGCCAGTGGTGTTGGCCCCCAAACCCCTGCTGAGTGGAGCGGTGCCCCTGGAAGCTTTCCTGGCCACGTTGCAAAAGGTGTGAAATCTGTGGGAGCGTCGCTAACACAATGTCTCCCTGCTCCTTTGTTTGCTTCGGTGTTTCCAGAGGAGCCTTGAGTCTTCACCTCAAGGCATAATCTTGTTGGAATTACTTTACACGCATGATTGCTGACTGTTTATCTCCTCATTTGCAGCATGGTATCACAGAAGTTAAAGTGGAGGAGACAGCAGACGGCCACATTCTGCACCTGCAGGCGGAGGACACGCTGATCCAGCTGGAGGAGGACGGGACGCACATCGTCTGCGACAACAACGAGCCGCTGCGAACCACACTGAGAGACCTGGTGCTTCGCTTCCTGCAGAAACTCTGACCTCTGACCTCCTCATGCCTCGTTTTTAACAGTACGAGGTGCGGTCAAAAACTTTTGAGACTGGGCCTTTAAAAATACAAAACTGTACCCAAATATTCCACAGACCCTGTTGAAGTGTGCAGCAACACAACACTTCAATGGAAATCCTGTTACATAAACATGTTAAGCACTGTCTGCGATCAGCGCTGAATCTCCTAAACTGTTTCAAGACGCCAATACTTTCACTTGGGGGAAGAGAAAGAAGTCACGAGGAGCCAAATCTGGCAAGCAGGGTTGATGTGGAGCAACCATTGTAATGTTGTGGCATAAAAACCCATGTGGAGCCGCTGCTTTGTGACCTGGCAAGTTGGAGCACCTACATGCCACTGGTCCACAGTTCAGGTTATTTGCACCAATTGTTTTCCTACAGACACATCGGGACTAAACAGTAGAGCTCTGCCTTGATAGTCCGACCCTGGGGGACGAATTCCTCGTGCAAAAAAACATGAATGTTGAAGAAAACCACCTTGCACTGTGGAAACTGAGGCTTTTCCACCGTAGAAACTGCTGTTTCTTCTCCTGATGGTAGCTACGGACCCTCCTCATCACCAGTGATGATCCTCCACATGATGCTGGATCAGCTCAACTCCTGACTGATGCTAAATGTGTTAAGAATTTACAGAAGCACACCTACCAGAGATCACTAAAACATGTCTAACACAGGCTGCTGCGACTGTTGATAGCGTACCACAAACACTCCCAGAGCTTTTTGACCGCACCTCGTTTTTCTTCTTTACTGGATTGTGGACAGCAGCAGAAGCTACAGGAGACGGGAAGGATGTGAAGGAAGAGCCGAGTACTGAACTGTCGTATTTAACACTGTAACATTTACAGTAGTTTTACTGTTAGGTTTTATTTGTACGAAGCATACGCAGATGTATTATTTTGTATTTAAAAAAAGTTTTTGGAAAGTTCCTTGAGTGAGTCTTTCATCGCTGCAGCTGTGTTGTGAGGGAGACTGAAATCATAGAAGTGTCAAAACTCAGTCATGAGGCTGGGGATTTACAAAAGGGGAAGAAGGAAAAGTAATTTCACATAAAAAAAAATTAGTTTCAGTTCATGTGATTCGTCTGTTAAACGTCATTCACTTTTCCCATATTGCAACCCACTAAAAAAAAGTGTCTAAAACTGCATTTTGTCTTTCACCTATAAGGACAGAATACTGACTAGTCATGACCTTTAATCTGAAGAAGTCAGAGATTTCAGTTGGATGTAAAATGTTTCCTCCTGCAACTGAAATAGGCAGAACAGGTATTTGTCACACAGTGTGAAGCCACAAGAGATAAAGCACAAATGTAAACAATAAAACAAATGAATTCCTCTTAGTTGCTCTGGTTTCAGGGCCTTGCTGTAGCGCACGTTGACTCACTGTCACGGCTCACCTGATTTCAACAGAGCCATTGTTATTACAAGTAATGGGATTTCCTTACAGTGACGAGTCAACATGCAGACTGGGAAAAAAACCTGTTAAACACTGGTAGTTTACTAAGTGTTTACTGAGTTGACACACTTGGAGCTGAAAAGTGAAATCTGGTATTTGATCAACTCAAAATGTACGAGCTGCAATAATGAATTAGTGAAAATGTCATTGGTGCAATCAGGCCCAACTTCCACTGGTTCTAGTTTTTTCAGTGTGAATCATTCAGTTTCTCAGATATGATTCAAGGCCTTTTCCACACTTACACAAATATTTTGCAAACCATTTCTCTCTACATTTGGGCTTTTCTTTCACATAAACAGCATTATAGGTCACTGTAATTCAGATTTTTCTTCAAACACCTTCTAAAATTAAGATTTAAAAAACTGCCTATGTGTATCTGAACACGTGCAGCAGAGAGTTCTATATATACTAACATGCTGGTTTCATTGTTTTTGGTTAGCACTAACAATTACAAGTTTACGGTGTAACTTGACATTGCCGCACCACTTCACTGATTTGCTTTTGCAGTTTAAAAACTGCCGAGATGACAAAAAGAAAATGTCCCTATCTGATTTTGTTAATGTAAATTGGATTTTCATTCTAATTATACAGTGTTTGTGGTCATTTTGGGGTTCTCAAGTGTACAGAGATGGTTCACACACACCTAAAAAAACAATTCTGCATTAGTGTGGACGAGGCCTTAGCTTTAAAACTTTATTCAACAGAGATCTTCATTTAATTTTCCTTTTACTCTAACATCAGGCTTAATCCATGTCTGCCTGACTATGTATACATTTTGAATTTGGTCTGGCGAAACAAATGTATAACACTATTTTTTTTTACATTTTAAAGACCAAATGACAATTGGTTAACTGGAAGAAAACCCCGAAATATTGG